TATAAAGGAGTAGGACAAAACCTGTTGTCTAGGAACAAGTCCCTGAGGTGGTATTTATAAAGGAGTAGGACAAAACCTGTTGTCTAGGAACAAGACCCTGAGCTGGTATTTATAAAGGAGTAGGACAAAACCTGTTGTCTAGGAACAAGACCCTGAGCTGGAATTTTTAAAGGAGTAGGACAAAACCTGTTGTCTAGGAACAAGACCCTGAGCTGGTATTTATAAAGGAGTAGGACAAAACCTGTTGTCTAGGAACAAGACCCTGAGCTGGTATTTATAAAGGAGTAGAACAAAACATGTTGTCTAGGAACAAGACCCTGAGCTGGTATTTATAAAGGAGTAGGACAAAACCTGTTGTCTAGGAACAAGACCCTGAGCTGGTATTTATAAAGGAGTAGGACAAAACATGTTGTCTAGGAACAAGACCCTGAGCTGGTATTTATAAAGGAGTAGGACAAACCCTGTTTTCTAGGAACAAGACCCTGAGCTGGTATTTATAAAGGAGTAGAACAAAACCTTGTTGTCTAGGAACAAGACCCTGAGCTGGTATTTATAAAGTAGTAGAACAAAACCTGTTGTCTAGGAACAAGACCCTGAGCTGGTATTTATAAAGGAGTAGAACAACACCTGTTTTCTAGGAACAAGACCCTGAGCTGGTATTTTTAAAGGAGTAGGACAAAACCTGTTGTCTAGGAACAAGACCCTGAGCTGGTATTTATAAAGGAGTAGAACAAAACCTGTTGTCTAGGAACAAGACCCTGAGCTGGTATTTATAAAGGAGTAGAACAAAACCTGTTGTCTAGGAACAAGACCCTTAGCTGGTATTTATAAAGGAGTAGGACAAAACGTGTTGTCTAGGAACTAGACCCTGAGCTGGTATTTATAAAGGAGTAGGACAAAACCTGTTGTCTAGGAACAAGGCCCTGAGCTGATATTTATAAAGGAGTAGGCAAAACCTGTTGTCTAGGAACAAGGCCCTGAGCTGATATTTATAAAGGAGTAGGACAAAACCTGTTGTCTAGGAACAAGACCTGAGCGGGTATTTATAAAGGAGTAGGACAAAACCTGTTGTCTTGGAACAAGACCCTGAGCTGGTATTTATAAAGGAGTAGAACAAAACCTGTTGTCTAGGAACAAGACCCTGAGCTGGTATTTACTGCATCACCAAGAATAAATGTTGACACATTTAGCTTTGATGTGAGTGCCTTAACAATTATTTAAAAAAACAAGCATGCTATTGATGATTAATCTGTTACAAATTATAGTTGGCTTCACAGAATCTATCATGAGTCTGGGCTTTAGCAGCGACAAGCCTAATGAAATGAGTCTCCTTCATTGATCTGTTCTGGTAATTCAGAAGGAGCGATCTACATCCTACACACTGTTGTTTGACATTGGTATAGATGTATTATTTGCAATTACCATCAGCCAGAATGCTGACAACAAATTGAATACATGAATTCTGCTATCTGCATTGCAGTGGGCCCTGGTCAAAAGCAGTGTACTATATAGTGAATCGGGTGCCCTTTCAGACACACCCATTATTATTATTATTATTATTATTATTATTATTATTATTATTATTATTATTATTATTATTATTATTATTATTATTATTATTATTATTATTATTATTATACGAGAAGACAAACCTGCGGTAAGTAAGTGTTTGAGAAACAACAGCAAAAATATAAAAGATATGTGTTGATCTATGGAAGAAAGGCAATTACATAAGAAGATTAAGTGGTTTTGGGAGAAAAAAAACCCATCATAATTCAAAATGTGCATGAGATGCTTTGGTTAAATTTGTTAAGTTGAAACAGAAATACTAGCATGAATAAAGGGGCACTAATCTGAACCGGTCCTTTTTAAAGTAGGCTAATTCTGGGAATAGCCTGCTGAAATCTAACATGAGGGCTTTAACAACAGGGCCTTGTTCAAAGATAGCTGGGCAAGGTTTACGACACAGCGCGTTTTAGAGCATTTAGAGGAAGAAAAAAAAACGACTCTCACAAAGGAACAGGATGCAACAAAACATAGAACATCCATCCAGCGTAAACTAGCGACAAAAACATCCTTATCAAAATAAAGAAGCTGTTGATTCAGAACCCAGAGGACAGTGGTCCAGGAAGCTCTGTGACTTTCCGTCTGTGTCCCAAATGGCACCCTATTCCCTATAAAGTGCACTATTGGCTCTGTTCAAAAGTAGTGCACTACGTAGCGAATAAGGTGCCGTTTGGGACGCTTCCTCCATGTTCATTATTGGAGGGATTGAACAGGAAGCGGTCGTGCTAGTGTTGTGATTAGATGAACCTCACTGTTCTGGACAGGGCTCTATTTAAACAAAGCCTAGCAGATGTGCTTCAGGAGATAACAGATAGAACAGCTATCTCCATGAGTTGTTTACTCCTGCAGCCGGGGACGGCCAGGGATAGACATTATCTAGCAAATATGTGCACTGGATCTTCTTGATCCCGTAGAAAATGTATGAAATAAATATTATAGCTGTATTTTGAAAAACCAACCTACTTCTCAAAATTTTAGTCGACATGTCTCAACATTGATAGCCACAAACTAGCTAACCTTGACCCAAAAATATGTCTACACATTATTTATTTTTTATAAAATCCTAGAGTTTAAAATGATATTTGCACTTTAGCTAAGCATTCAATTGTCATCCAACCCTAACAATGCGATGTAGACCTAATGCAACCTCCAAAAGGGAGAAAAAAATGCAAATAGCAACAGACCCCCAAAATATTTGCATGTGATTCTTTGGAGTTTAGGTTAGATTCCTACCATAGTGTAGTTGTGGGCCACTTTGAGCAAATCCATGCATCCCTGGGCATCAGCGAAGGAGTGTATCCCCAGGCAGTTAGATGGATGGAGTTGTTTCATAAGGAAGTTACAGCAAACGTCAATGACTTGTGAGAGCTGTAGAAGGCAGGCTGCAGCCAATAAACTCTCTATGGTCTCCTCCTTCAATTCAAGGACACCTGGAACATTAACAAGATATGTTGTTACAGAGAACAATGGAAGCAGAGCTCAATATGAGCTGCAAAAACATCACCAGGCCTGGGGCTCAAGGGAGAAAATACCCCAAAACATCACCAGGCCTGGGGCACAAGGGAGAAAATACCCCAAAACATCACCAGGCCTGGGGCACAGGAGATAAAATACCCCAAAACATCACCAGGCCTAGGGCTCAAGGGAGAAAATACCCCAAAACATCACCAGGCCTGGGGCACAGGAGATAAAATACCCCAAAACATCACCAGGCCTGCGGCACAGGGGATAAAATACCCCAAAACATCACCAGGCCTGGGGCACAGGAGATAAAATACCCCAAAACATCACCAGGCCTGCGGCACAGGGGATAAAATACCCCAAAAACATCACCAGGCCTGGGGCACAGGAGATAAAATACCCCAAAACATCACCAGGCCTGGGGCACAAGGGAGAAAATACCCCAAAACATCACCAGGCCTGGGGCACAGGAGATAAAATACCCCAAACATCACCAGGCCTGCGGCACAGGGATAAAATACCCCAAAACACATCACCAGGCCTGGGGCACAAGGGAGAAAATACCCCAAAACATCACCAGGCCCTGGGGCACAGGAGATAAAATACCCCAAAACATCACCAGGCCTGGGGCACAAGGGAGAAAAATACCCCAAAACATCACCAGGCCTGGGGCCACAGGAGATAAAATACCCCAAAACATCACCAGGCCTGGGGCACAAGGGAGAAAATACCCCAAAACATCACCAGGCCTGGGGCACAGGAGATAAATACCCCAAAACATCACCAGGCCTAGGGCTCAAGGGGAGAAAATACCCCAAAACATCACCAGGCCTGGGGCACAGGAGATAAAAATACCCCCAAAACATCACCAGGCCTGCGGCACAGGGGATAAATACCCCAAAACATCACCAGGCCTGGGGCACAGGAGATAAAATACCCCAAACCATCACCAGGCCTGGGGCACAAGGAGAAAATACCCCAAAACATCACCAGGCCTGGGGCACAGGAGATAAAATACCCCCAAAAACATCACCAGGCCTAGGGCACAAGGGAGAAAATACACCAAAACATCACCAGGCCTGGGGCTCAAGGGGATAAAATACCCCAAAACATCACCAGGCATGGGGCACAAGGGAGAAAATACCCCAAAACATCACCAGGCCTGGGGCACAGGGGATTAAATACCCCAAAACATCACCAGGCCTGGGGAACAAGGGAGAAAATACCCCAAAACATCACCAGGCCTGGGGCACAGGAGATAAAATACCCCAAAACATCACCAGGCCTGGGGCACAGGAGATAAAATACCCCAAAACATCACCAGGCCTGCGGCACAGGGGATAAAATACCCCAAAACATCACCAGGCCTGGGGCACAGGAGATAAAATACCCCAAAACATCACCAGGCCTGGGGCACAAGGGAGAAAATACCCCAAAACATCACCAGGCCTGGGGCACAGGAGATAAAATACCCCAAAACATCACCAGGCCTGGGGCACAGGAGATAAAATACCCCAAAACATCACCAGGCCTGGGGCACAGGAGATAAAATACCCCAAAACATCACCAGACCTGGGGCACAGGGGAGAAAATACCCCAAAACATCACCAGGCCTGGGGCTCAAGGGGATAAAATACCCCAAAACATCACCAGACCTGGGGCACAAGGGAGAAAATACCCCAAAACATCACCAGGCCTGGGGCACAGGAGATAAAATACCCCAAAACATCACCAGGCCTGGGGCACAGGAGATAAATACCCCAAAACATCACCAGGCCTGGGGCACAGGAGATAAAATACCCCAAAACATCACCAGGCCTAGGGCACAAGGGAGAAAATACCCCAAAACATCACCAGGCCTGGGGCACAAGGGAGAAAATACCCCAAAACATCACCAGACATGGGGCACAGGGGATAAAATACCCCAAAACATCTCTAGGTCTGGGGCACAGGAGAGAAAATACCCCAAAACATCACCAGGCCTGGGGCACAGGGGAGAACATGCCTAAAAGATTGACAGACGTGTAGATTTGATGCTGCCCTTTTTGCACCAGCCAGCTCCATGGGTATTACAGTATGGATACATTCAAATGGCACCCTATTCCTAATTTAGCCCTATGGGCCCTGGTCAAAAGTAGTGCACTATATAGATAATAGGGTACCATTTGAGACACATAAATGAGTGATGAGCAGTACTCACCAGTGTATGCAAAGTGGACCAGAGATCTCAAGGCTTCTGGATCCACCCCCTCCATCTTGATCTCCTCCTGTTTGGCCTCTCTCACATCGCTGGTGAACATGGCAGCAAAGTAGTCAGATACCGCACTGAGGACCAATCTGTATAGGACAACACCAACAAGGTGGTGGTCAGAAAACACACTGAGGACCAGCCTGCACACAGCAACAACCAGCAAATAAATCAGAGGGCCCATCCCAAATGGCACGCTATTCCCTATTTAGTGCACTACTCTCTGGTCAAAAGTAGTGCACTATACACAACAACTATAGAGGGATTAGGGGTGCCATTTGGGACACACACAGACACTGCATTGAGGATCAGTCTGCACACACAACACAACAACAGCCATGTGTTGATGTCTTCATATGTATTGATTATCCGTTACAGAATGGCATGCTGTGCGGGAGCTGAGAGGGAGCTGAGAGGGAACTGAGAGGGAGCTGTGAGGGAGATGAGAGGGAGCTGTGAGGGAGATGTGAGGGAGATGTGAGGGAGCTGTGAGGGAGCTGAGAGGGAGCTGTGAGGGAACTGAGAGGGAGCTGTGAGGGAGCTGAGAGGGAGCTGAGAGGAAGCTGTGAGGGAACGGAGAGGGAGATGTGAGGGATATGTGAGGGAGATGTGAGGGAGATGAGAGGGAGCTGTGAGGGAGATGTGAGGAGTTGTGAGGGAGCTGAGAGGGAGCTGAGAGGCAGATGTGAGGTAGCTGTGAGGGAGCTGTGAGGGAGCTGAGAGGGAGCTGAGAGGGAGTTGTGAGGGAGATGTGAGGGAGCTGAGAGGGAGCTGTGAGGGAGCTGTGAGGGAGATGTGAGGGAGCTGAGAGGGAACTGTGAGGGAGATGTGAGGGAGATGTGAGGGAGCTGAGAGGGAGATGTGAGGGAGTTGTGAGGGAGCTGAGAGGGAGCTGTGAGGGAGCTGAGAGGGAGATGTGAGGTAGCTGTGAGGGAGATGTGAGGGAGCTGAGAGGGAGCTGTGAGGGAGCTGTGAGGGAGCTGAGAGGGAGCTGTGAGGGAGCTGAGATGGAGCTGAGAGGGAGATGTGAGGGGGCTGTGATGGACCTGTGAGGGAGATGAGAGGGAGCTGTGAGGGAGTTGAGAGGGAGCTGTGAGGGAGAACCATGACAGACAGACAGTATACCATGTGGTATATCAGACAGACAGTATACCAGGTGGTATATCAGACAGACAGTATACCAGGTGGTATATCAGACAGACAGTATACCAGGTGGTATATCAGACAGACAGTATACCAGGTGGTATATCAGACAGACAGTATACCAGGTGTTATATCAGACAGACAGTATACCAGGTGGTATATCAGACAGACAGTATACCAGGTGGTATATCAGACAGACAGTATACCAGGTGGTATATCAGACAGACGGTATACCAGGTGGTATATCAGACAGACAGTATACCAGGTGGTATATCAGACAGACGGTATACCAGGTGGTATATCAGACAGACGGTATACCAGGTGGTATATCAGACAGACGGTATACCAGGTGGTATATCAGACAGACGGTATACCAGGTGGTATATCAGACAGACGGTATACCAGGTGGTATATCAGACAGACGGTATACCAGGTGGTATATCAGACAGACGGTATACCAGGTGGTATATCAGACAGACGGTATACCAGGTGGTATATCAGACAGACGTATACCAGGTGGTATATCAGACAGACAGTATACCAGGTGGTATATCAGACAGACAGTATACCAGGTGGTATATCAGACAGACAGTATACCAGGTGTTATATCAGACAGACAGTATACCAGGTGGTATATCAGACAGACAGTATACCAGGTGTTATATCAGACAGACAGTATACCAGGTGGTATATCAGACAGACAGTATACCAGGTGGTATATCAGACAGACAGTATACCAGGTGGTATATCAGACAGACAGTATACCAGGTGGTATATCAGACAGACGGTATACCAGGTGGTATATCAGACAGACGGTATACCAGGTGGTATATCAGACAGACGGTATACCAGGTGGTATATCAGACAGACGGTATACCAGGTGGTATATCAGACAGACGGTATACCAGGTGGTATATCAGACAGACGGTATACCAGGTGGTATATCAGACAGACGGTATACCAGGTGGTATATCAGACAGACGGTATACCAGGTGGTATATCAGACAGACAGTATACCAGGTGGTATATCAGACAGACAGTATACCAGGTGGTATATCAGACAGACAGTATACCAGGTGGTATATCAGACAGACAGTATACCAGGTGGTATATCAGACAGACAGTATACCAGGTGGTATATCAGACAGACAGTATACCAGGTGGTATATCATCGAGCAGCACAGCCTGTTTGAGCAGTTATGGTGCCATGTTTTCAGATGTAGCCCACATCAGCTCAGTGATTTATAAGAAGATGGCGCCAACAGACATGGAAGCTCTGCTTCTAGCTTCTAAGCAACTTTGCCGTTTTTTAAAGTTTTTTAGTTTTTGTTATTTCTTACACTATTATTATTATTATTATTATTATTATTATTATTATTATTATTATTATTATTAATATTATTATTAATTAGCCCAGAATGTTTTTTGTGTTATTACATACAGCCAGAAATAACTCTGGGATATCAGAGCGGCGGTAACTCACCCCTGGGCAATTGAACTTATCCCAGAGGCTGCTCCAAGATGCCGCCAGTGGTATATCATCGAGCAGCACAGCCTGTTTGAGCAATTATGGTGCCATGTTTTCAGATATAGCCCACATCAGCTCAGTGATTTATAAGAAGATGCCCGTCTGGTGTTCAACCTTCCCAAGTTCTCTCACGTCACCCCCCTCCTCCGCACACTCCACTGGCTTCCAGTTGAAGCTCGCATCCGTTACAAGACCATGGTGCTTGCCTATGGAGCAGTGAGGGGAACGGCACCTCTGTACCTTCGGGCTCTGATCAGTCCCTACACCCAAACGAGGGCATTGCGTTCATCCACCTCTGGCCTGCTGGCTCCCCTTCCTCTGCGGAAGCATAGTTCCCGCTCAGCCCAGTCAAAACTGTTCGCTGCTCTGGCACCCCAATGGTGGAACAAGCTCCCTCACGACGCCAGGACAGCGGAGTCACTCACCACCTTCCGGAGACATTTGAAACCCCACCTCTTTAAGGAATACCTGGGATAGGATAAAGTAATCCTTCTACAACCCCCCCCCCCCCCCCAAAAAAAAAATGTGTAAAGTGGTTATCCCACTGGCTATAGGGTGAATGCACCAATTTGTGAGTCGCTCTGGATAAGAGCGTCTGCTAAATGATGTAAATGTGCCCTTGAGCAAGGCACTTAACCCTAATTGCTCCTGTAAGTCGCTCTGGATAAGAGCGTCTGCTAAATGACTAAAATGTAAATGTAAATGTAAGAGGTATTCTGAGTGGACTTCTAGTCCGACTCAGGAGGCGTACACACCATCCACAGCTTCCGAGTATTTTACTCGCTAATGTTCAGTCCCTGGACAATAAAGTACACGAGCTCAGGGCGAGGATCTCCTTCCAGGAGACATCAGGGACTGTTACGTACACGGAATCATGGCTCTCTCGGGATATACTGTCCCCGTCCATACAGCCAGCTGGGTTCTCAGTACATCGCGCAGACAGGAATAAAGAACTTTCCGGGTGGTGTATGTTTCGTGATTAACTACTCATGGTGTGATTGTGATAACGTACAGGAACTCAAGTCCTTTTGTTCACCCGACCTAGAATACCTCACAATCAAATGCCAACCGCATTACATCCCTAGACAATTTTCTTCAGTTATCAGCCGTGTATATTCCCCCTCAAGCCGATACCACGACAGCCCTCAAGGAACTACACTGGACTCTGTGCAAACTGGAAACCACATATCCTGAGGCCGCATTTACTGTACCTGGGGATTTTAATAAAGCACATTTGAAGAAAACGGTACCAAAGTTTTATCAACACATCGCCTGCAGTACTCGTGCTACAAAAACTCTCAACCAATGTTACTCTCCCTTCCGGGATGGCTAAAAGGCCCTCCCTTCAGCAAATCAGATCACGACCCTACGCTGCTCCTCCCTTTCTATAGGCAGAAACTATTCGCTATTCTATTCAACGCTGGTCTGACCAATCAGAATCCATGCTTCAAGATTGTTTTGATCACGCAGACTTGGAGATGTTCCGGGTTGCACCTGAGAATAACATCGACGTATGGACGGACACGGTGACCGAGTTCACCAGGAAGTGTATAGGGTATGTTCTTCCCACTGTGACTATTAAAACCTACCCAAACCAAAAACTGTGGTTAGATGGCAACATTTGCGCAACCATCACATTTAACCAAGGCAAGGTCACTAGCAATATGGTTGAATACAAACAGTGTAATCATTCCCTCCGTAAGGCAATCAAAAAGGCAAAATGTCAGTACAGATACAAAGTGGAGTCGCAATTCAACGGCTCAGACATGAGACGTATGTGGCAGGGACTCCAGATAATCACGGACTACAAAGGGAAAACCAGCTATGCCGCGGACACCAACGTCTTGCTCCCGGACAAGCTAAACACCTTCTTCGCCCGCTTTGAGGATAACACAGTGCCACCGACGCAGCCCGCTCCCATGGGCTCTCCTTCTCCATGGTCGACGTGAGTAAGGCATTTAAGCGTGTTAACCCTCGCAAGGCTGCAGGCCCAGACGGCGTCCCTAGCCCGCGTCCTCAGAGCATGCTCAGACCAGCTGGCTGGAGTGTTTTACGGACATATTCAATCTCTCCCTATCCCAGTCTGCTGTCCCCACTTGCTTCAAGATGTCCAAAATTGTTCCTGTATCCAAGAACGCAAAGGTAACTGAACTAAATGACTATCACCCCGTAGCACTCACTTCTATCATCATGAAGTGCTTTGAGAAGCTAGTTATGCCAAAGATTCCAGCCACCCTAGTCATAGACTGTTCTCTCTGCTACCGCACGGCAAGCGGTACCAGAGCGGCAAGTCTAGATCCAAAAGGCTTCTTAACAGCTTCTACCCCCAAGCCATAAGACTCCTGAACAGCTAATCAAATGGCTACCCTGGCTATTTGCATTGCAAATGGCCCCCATCTTTTTACGCTGCTGCTACTCTCTGTTTATTACCTACATGTTTATTACCTACAGTCGTGGTCAACATTTTGGAGAATGACACAAATACTAATTTTCTCAAAGTCTGCTGCCTCAGTTTTGATGATGGCAATTTGCATATACTCCAGAATGTCATGAAGAGTGATCAGATGAATTGCAAATGAACTTAATCCCAAAAAAACATTTCCACTGCATTTCAGCCCTGTCACAAAAGGACCAGCTGACATCATGTCAGTGATTCTCTCGTTAACACAGGTGAGAGTGTTGATGAGGACAAGGCTGGAGATCACTCTGTCATGCTGATTGAGTTAGAATAACAGACTGGAAGCTTTAAAAGGAGGGTGGTGCTTGAAATCATTGTTCTTCCTCTGTTAACCATGGTTACCTGCAAGAAAACATGTGCCGTCATCATTGCTTTGCACAAAAAGGGCTTCACAGGCAAGGATATTGCTGTTAGTAAGATTGCACCTCAATTAACCATTTATCGGATCATCAAGAACTTCAAGGAGAGAGGTTCAATTGTTGTGAAGAAGGCGTCAGGGCGCCCAAGAAAGTCCAGCAAGTGCCAGGACAGTCTCCTAAAGTTGATTCAGCTGCGGGATCGGGGCACCACCAGTGCAGAGCTTGCTCAGGAATGGTAGCAGGCAGGTGTGAGTGCATCTGCACGCACAGTGAGGGGAAGACTTTTGGAAGATGGCCTGGTGTCAAGAAGGGCAGCAAAGAAGCCACTTCTCTCCAGGAAAAACATCAGGGAAAGACTGATATTCTGCAAAAGGTTCAGGGATTGGACTGCTGAGGACTGGGGTAAAGTCATTTTCTCTGATGAATCCCCTTTCCGATTGTTTGCGGCATCCGGAAAACACCTTGTCCGGAGAAGACAAGGTGAGCGCTACCATCAGTCCTGTGTCATGCCAACAGTAAAGCATCCTGAGACCATTCATGTGTGGGGTTGCTTCTCAGCCAAGGGAGTGGGCTCACTCACCACTTTGCCTAAGAACACAGCCATGAATAAAGAATGGTACCAACACATCCTCCGAGAGCA